TTGGATAGGTCCAGCGTGGCTCGGCAGCGCTCCGGGTGCTGTTCCAGAGCTGGGGTGGCTCCAGCAGTCACCTGGAGGCCGGCAGCGCTTAGCCCAAGTGGCCCCAGCTCCCAGACTGCTGCTGCAGCTGGTGAGTGTGAGGCTTTTTTTAACTGCTGGGACGTTGGGGCCGGGCTAGGCAACCAATGTGGGGGGTGTTGGAGGGGGGGGGTGAGATTCGGCCGCATGGGTGACTGGTGCCTCCTGAGTCAGGGTGGGCACTTGCCCCCACAGCGACCAGGGGAAGATGGGTCCCCCATGGCCGATTGCACTGACCTGGAAGTGCCACAGAGATCGCTTGTCCTGGCGCTCCCACTCCCTGGTTGGCGCTCTCAGGGGGGACCCTGTAGTGCTCCTGCCTGCCCGTCGCCGAAGCGGGGAATTCTGGCTGTCAGGGGGTGCACCAGCGCTCTCAAGGGGCGCATGTGCACCCCATACGCATTGCCGCTGTTTGGCCCAATTTGTCAGCCAAATCTCCGAATCGAATTGGGACAGTGATTTGAATCACCAAATCGAATCATTGTTCCTCCGAATCGGCCAAATTGAATACTTGCTGCTTCGCAAGGCCTACTGTTCAGTTTGCTCAGTGGCACCCTAAACATCCATATGGGTTTTTACATACAGGTGTTGTCTTTATATTAAATATCACATGATTTGAATAAAAACAAGAACCTTTGCTTGTAATAAGTTTTGCTTACTCTATTTATTCTTTTTTACGTTTAAAAAAGCAAAAATGCAGTAAACCAAATGCAGTGGTCACCAGCTGCCAGGTGCCAGATGATTGGAAGATAGCCAATGTGGTCCCCATCTTTAAAAAAGGGAGGAGGGAGGACCCGGGCAACTGTAGGCCCGTCAGTCTTACCTCAATCCTGGGGAAACTCTTTGAGAAGATCATCAAGGAGCACATCTGTGATGGGCCAGCATCGGGGATGATGCGCAAGGGCAACCAGCACAGTTTCATTAGAGGCAGGTCATGTCATGTCAGACCAACCTGATTGCCTTTTACAATCAGGTCACAAAAGCATTGGATGCAGGTGTCGCCGTGGATGTAGTCTTTCTGGACTTCAGCAAGGCCTTTGACACTGT